CTGGAGCCATTGGCTCCAGGTCACCGCCCTGATGTACTGGCATCGTAGCTCCCCTAGGTCGTTGCCGAGCAGAACATCCGCTGGGAGGCCTCCCATGACGCCGATCTGGCACTGTTGCTCCCCGAACCCATTGTCGAGGTGTACGGATGCTCTGTGGATATGATGTCTGGCTCCTCCCACCAGCTCGAATGACAATTGCGCGGTCATGCAACACTGTACTCATATGAGCATATTAGCATTTTTTTGAGACAGATAAAACTTTATTTTGGTGGTATTTATTCACCGCTGGGATTTTTTTTTTTTTTTTTTGCTATATAAATGAAAATGTCCAAACATTTTGAAAAAAAGTGTTTTTCTTATAAAAGTTTGCAAATAAATAATCTTTCTTCAGAAATCTTGGCCAAAATATATTAAATTATCTTTTTAGTAAAAAAAAACAAATTAGGTTATAACAAAAAATTATAATTTTTCTAATTTTTTTTTACATTTTCATTTTATGTTTTTATATTATTATTCATTTTTTTTTTTTACATATTGTCACCCTAGCAGTACAGTGTCACAATGTACTACTTGTGGGGGGTGATGAAGGTTTTTTAGTTCAAATAGTTTTTATTGAAGGATTTTAACATACAAAAAGAAAAAGAAAAAAAGGGTATATAGACATTGATATGGAAATGAGAAGGTTCATATTTGATAGGCGTAATGCATAACAGAGGGAAAAACGATAATGAAGGATCCCCACCAACTGGCTAGGGAAACTATAAGGTTTGATTATATTTATATGAGAGGTATACTCGGTGTCTTGTGAACCTTACTGGAAACTGGGAACATGTAAATGGGGGGGGATAAGAGATAGGGGGAAACGGGAGGGGTGAGGGAAGGCACCGGTGCAGTAAGGGGTAGAGTATTTTATCTTGGTATGTATCCGTAATGAATCTATTGTGCAATTGGGGTTTTTTAGCCATCGAGACCATTGGACCGTAAATTTATGGTAGGAGGAGTTGTGGAAGGCTATTCTTCTTTCCATCTCACATTGGAGATTAAGATCTGATAAGAGGCGGGGTAATGAAGGAGTGGTGGTAGAGCGCCATAGTCTGGTAATATTGGTTTTGGCGGCTGCTAAGATTTGTATAATAATGGTATGTGAGTTCGCAGGGAATTTATCAATGCCGATGTGTAGAAGAGCTAGGGCAGGATTTGGGGCTACAGACGTTCCCGTAATTGAGGAGATTATTTTGAAAACCTTGTTCCAATAGGATTTGAGTGATTTAGTGAGTGGAGAAGTGAGCCAGTGTCTTCACAGAGTCTCCAGCATGCCCGTGATTGTTGCGAGTAGAATAAGGATAGTTTGGCGAGGGTTAAGTACCATTGATGGAGGGTTTTCAAGTATGTTTCCCAATGGGAGGAGCATTTCGAGGCTTTGAAAGTGATGGTGAAAGTCTTTTCCCATATGTGCGGGGTTAGCGGTTGAAGGAAATTATTTTCCCAGTTGGTTAGGGAGGAAGTATGTGTAGCTAATTTTGTGTCAGTAATAAGTGTGTAAAAAGTTGAAATTCCCTTCTTAGGGTAGGTAGTCCTGTGAAAAAATTGGTGTGCGGTTGCAGGGATTCCCATTTTGAGTGGTATACTCGTTTTATGGAGTGAGTGGGCTATGCGCATATAGGAGAATTGTTCAGTGTCAGGGAGATGAAATTTCCTTTGAGTAGCATGGAAAGAGTCTAGTTTAAAAGAAGTGAAAATGTCTTGAATGTGGTATGCCGAGGGTTTCCCACTTTGTCAGGTTTAAATGGGGAATGAGAAAGTGGAGGGATGAGAGTGGAGTAGAGGTTTGCAGATTATCTTTATGTAGTTGGTTGTAGGTGACGAAGTCATGCCAGGCTATTAAGGAGGCTTGTATGCAGGGGTGTTTACATAGAGTCTTAGCTTGAGCTGATCGGGGTACGAATAGCAAATCAGTTATAGTATGTGGTAGGTACAGGGATGTTTCCATGACGGTCCAGATTTTTCAGCGATGGGGTGCCACCAGTAAAAGAGTTGATCCAGTAGGACCGCTTGGTAGTATGATTTTAGGTGTGGAAGACCGGCTCCACCTCTGGAGGGTGGGTGTATTAGGAGATTTGTGGTATATCTAGGTCTTTTCGAATTCCATAGGAATTTGTTCAATATCGCTTGGTGTTTAAAGAAAAAGGTGTAGGGAATTGGGATAGGAAGTGTACGGAAAATGTAGAGTATTTTAGGAAGTATGCACATTTTAACTGTCAGGGCTCCAGGGTATGACCAGAGGTATGTGACTGACGCAGGGAAACGCAGACTTCAGATATGTTATAAACAATATAATTTATTAAAGACTAACAATACAAACATAAACGCAGTGCACCAAACCCCAAGCTAACACAAATACATACAAGGTGAAACAAACCCAAACCTAAACTGATACAGATACACAGGTACATACATATATAGAGCACAACGTGATCAGGCAGGCCGGGTCGATAACTATCGGGCAGGTAGGTACAGGAGGAGCATGCGGAGAGAATGGTCAGGGTCACAAGCCAGGGATCAGAACAGGAGAAGTCAGCAGAGGTCAGGATCAAGCAGGGTCAGCAACAAGACAGGAACAGGAACAGGAACGCAGGTTTACAAGATACAGGGCCCAGGAAAAAACACACACACCAAGGCAAAGACTGCAGGTCTGGCCATCACTTAAATACACCTGCATAAGCAGTTTCAGGTGTTTGGCTGGCTGCAGGGTTGAGTCTCTGATTGCTGGGAGCACCCGCTGGCCAGCCCTGGTACTGCAGCCCACAAGGCAGGTGAGTCCCACCATTACTGGCAAGTCCATTCCTGACAGTACCCCCCCTCAAGGAGCGGCCTCAGGACGCTCCAAACAGTCCTAGCTGGGCAAAATGTTCCACCGCCCGGGTCTGGTAACTGGCGGGATATCAAAGACTGGCACATCGGGCTGGACTCCGGGCAGAGGCACATCGGGCTGGACTCCGGGCAGAGGCACATCGGGCAGGACTCCGGGCAGAGGCACATCGGGCAGGACTCCGGGCAGAGGCACATCGGGCTGGACTCCGGGCAGCGGCACATCGGGCAGGACTCCGGGCAGCGGCACATCGGGCCGGACTCCGGGCAGCGGCACATCGGGCCGGACTCCGGGCAGAGGCACATCGGATCACCAGGCGAAGCAGCAGGCACCGGGCCACCAGGCGGAGCAGCAGGCACCGGGCCACCAGGCGGAGCGACAGGCACCGGGCCACCAGGCGGAGCGACAGGCATCGGGCCACCAGGCGGAGCGACAGGCATCGGGCCACCAGGCGGAGCGTCAGGCACCGGGCCCCCAGGCGGAGCGACAGGTCTCGGACCCCCAGGCGGAGCGACAGGTCTCGGACCCCCAGGCGGAGCGACAGGTCTCGGGCCCCCAGGCGGGGCGACAGGCATCGGGCCCCCAGGCGGGGCGACAGGCGCCGGGCCCCCAGGCGGAGCGACAGGTCTCGGGCCCCCAGGCGGAGCGGCGGGCGCCGGACCCCCAGGCGGAGCAACAGGTTTTGGGCTCCCAGGCGGAGCGACAGGCATCGGACCCCCAGGCAGAGCGACAGGTTTCGGGCCCCCAGGCGGGACGACAGGCACCGGACCCCCAGGCGGGGCGACAGGCGCGGGCCCCCAGACGGGGCGACAGGCGCCGGGCCCCCAGGCGGGGCGGCAGGTCTCGGGCTTCCAGGCGGAGCAGCGAGTGCCGGACCCCCAGGCGGAGCGACAGGTCTCGGGCCCCCAGGGGCGGAGCGGCGGGCGCCGGACCCCCAGGCGGAGCGACAGGTCTCGGGCCACCAGGCGGAGAGCAGCAGGCACCGGGCCACCAGGCGGAGCGACAGGCACCGGGCCACCAGGCGGAGCGACAGGCATCGGGCCACCAGGCGGAGCGACACAGGCACCGGGCCCCCAGGCGGGGCGACAGGCGCCGGGCCCCCAGGCGGAGCGACAGGTCTCGGACCCCCAGGCGGAGCGACAGGTCTCGGACCCCCAGGCGGAGCGACAGGTCTCGGGCCCCCAGGCGGGGCGACAGGCATCGGGCCCCCAGGCGGGGCGACAGGCGCCGGACCCCCAGGCGGAGCGACAGGTCTCGGACCCCCAGGCGGAGCGACAGGTCTCGGGCCCCCAGGCGGGGCGACAGGCATCGGGCCCCCAGGCGGGGCGACAGGCGCCGGACCCCCAGGCGGGAGCGACAGGTCTCGGACCCCCAGGCGGAGCGACAGGTCTCGGGCCCCCAGGCGGGGCGACAGGCATCGGGCCCCCAGGCGGGGCGACAGGCGCCGGGCCCCCAGGCGGAGCGACAGGTCTCGGGCCCCCAGGCGGAGCGGCGGGCGCCGGACCCCCAGGCGGAGCAACAGGTTTTGGGCTCCCAGGCGGAGCGACAGGCATCGGACCCCCAGGCAGAGCGACAGGTTTCGGGCCCCCAGGCGGGACGACAGGCACCGGACCCCCAGGCGGGGCGACAGGCGCCGGGCCCCCAGACGGGGCGACAGGCGCCGGGCCCCCAGGCGGGGCGGCAGGTCTCGGGCTTCCAGGCGGAGCAGCGAGTGCCGGACCCCCAGGCGGAGCGACAGGTCTCGGGCCCCCAGGCGGAGCGGCGGGCGCCGGACCCCCAGGCGGAGCGACAGGTCTCGGGCCCCCCCAGGCGGAGCGGCGGGCGCCGGACCCCCAGGCGGAGCGACAGGTCTCGGGCCCCCAGGCGGAGCGGCGGGTGCCAGACCCCCAGGCGGAGCGACAGGTCTCGGGCCCCCAGGCGGAGCGACAGGTCTCGGGCCCCCAGGCGGAGCGGCGGGCGCCGGACCCCCAGGCGGAGCGACAGGTCTCGGGCCCCCAGGCGGAGCGACAGGCACCGAGTCACCAGGCACGATAGTGGGCTCCGAGTCAACTGGCATGACCGCGGGCACTGGGTCAGACATTGGATCGTCTGGCTGGAACAGGGCATCGGGTCACCAAGCATCAGGTCATTTGGCTCGACAGCGGGCACCGCGTCATCTGGCAAGGCAGTGGGCACCGAGTCACCAGGCACGACAGTGGGCTCTGAGTCAATTGGCACGACAGCGGGCACCAGGTCATCAGGTACCAGATCGTCTGGCTCGACAGCAGGCACCGGGTCATCTGGCATTGGATCATCTGGCTCGACAGCGGGCATCGGGTCACCAGGCATGACAGCAGGCACTGGGTCATCAGGTACCGGATCGTCTGGATCGACAGCGGGCACCGGGTCATCTGGTGCTGGATCGTCTGGCTTGACAGCGGGCATCGGGTCACCAGGCATGATAGCGGGCACTGGGTCATCAGGCATTGGATTGTCTGGCTCGACAGCGGGCATCGGGTCACCAGGTATGACAGCGGGCACTGGGTCATCAGGCGTTGGATCGTCTGGCTCGACAGCGGGCATCGGGTCACCAGGCATGACAACGGGCACCGAGGCATCAGGCATGATAGGATCATCAGGCTGGATCAGTTCATCAGGCTGGGTACAGACATCAGGCTGGGTAGAGACATCAGGTTGAAGTGCGGGTGCCGAGGCACCAGGCTGAACCACGGAAGGCAGGTTCTCAGATGGCAGGCTCACCGGTTTGGATACAGGCAGGATGGTATTGGTTGGAAAGAATTTTCGCTTCTTTCTGGTTTTAACTACTGGAGCACTGCAAGTAAACGCAGGTCTGCAAACGAATGGAGCAGCTGGAGACAGAGAAGAGCTGGAGGATGGAACAGGGGAGGGAACAGTTGCTACAGAGGGCTTTTTTACAGGGTTAAAGGCAGGATAGGTGCAGGGAACAGGGTACTGACATGCGGTAGATAGCAGGGTATACTGGGCTGTAACTGGAGGTGCTGTTGGGAATGCAGGAATAGGGCTTTGAGGAAATAGATTAGAAGCAGGACTGGGTCTTTGTAAGCTGACTGAGGCTGGGTGCAACAAATCTGTCCATGTCTGCAGTATGGGTTGAACAAAGCTCAGCTTACACAAAGCCTGTCTGACCAATGACTGCACTGCGTTTATGCAATCTCTTAGTACCTGTGGTGAACATGCAGAATAACGCTCCAGAAAGTAATCCACATCATCCTCTAATAACCATACCAGGGACTCTACCTGGTCGGCACTAAATGGCGGCAAAAATTCATCCCTGCATTCGGGGGAACCAGATGAAACCAACTCTCAGCACAAACCTGAATCAATGGCTGCACCTCAGAGAATTCTGTGCCCTGATCTACTAGAACATGAGCGATCCGTATACATTCTAGTAGTTCATCCCGGGTATACTCCCTCAGAGCCTGATAAGCATACTCTCTGTCATCAAACACTAGCAGAGATAAATACACAACCTCATCAGGATCCATCCTTCCCAGCAACAAGCCAAGATGGCTTCCCTGTGCAGCCACTTCTGGTCAGGATTGGCCTTGGTGTAATGTCAGGGCTCCAGGGTATGACCAGAGGTATGTGACTGACGCAGGGAAACGTAGGCTTCAGATAAGTTATAAACAATATCATTTATTAAAGACTAACAATACAAACATAAACGCAGTGCACCAAACCCCAAGCTAACACAAATACATACAACAAGGTAAAACAAACCCAAACCTAAACTGATACAGATACACAGGTACATACACATATAGAGCACAACGTGATCAGGCAGGCCGGGTCGATAACTATCGGGCAGGTAGGTACAGGAGGAGCAGGCGGAGAGAATGGTCAGGGTCACAAGCCAGGGATCAGAACAGGAGAAGTCAGCAGAGGTCAGGATCAAGCAGGGTCAGCAACAAGACAGGAACAGGAACAGGAACGCAGTATGGTATTAAGTAGAAAGTTTTCAATGGAGAACTGTAGGTTGGGCAGTATTAGGGTCGTCGTTTATGTTATAGAGGTTCTGGTAGTAAGACGCAAAGGCGTTAGCTATATCCTGGGGGTTTGTAAGGAGAGAGTGTGTGGTGGGGTGCTGAATTGTGAAAATTTTGGTTTTAAGTCGCTTTTGTTTAACAGTTTTAGCGAGAAGTGAGTTAGCTTTGTTGCTGAGAGCATAGAATTTAGTCCTCGTTTTTTGGAGATTAGTGTCATAGGTGTGCAGTAGAATAGTGCGCAATTTGTTCCTGTCTAGGTTTAGGGCTGCGGGTGTCTCCACTGTACCCCTGCCTCATTGGTTCTAGAACCTGCTGCGAGTGATAGTCGGTTGCTCCGATGTGGATTTCTTGACCCTCGGCTCGCTCTCTACTGCTGCGATTTGGCTCCCCGGATCCCCCAGCTGAACTTCTGTCCCCTCCTCACCTGGAACCCGCCCAGTGAACTGGTCGCTCAAGTATCCGCCTTAGTGGTCAGCTTCCGGATTGTCCGCCCTCCTTTTGCTGCATCCTCTTCGTACCCAAGGGTCCTCATCCTGCCTCAATGTCTGACGCTCTGTTATCTTTGAAGAAGCTCCCAGCTGAACTCAGCCTCTCCCTGGCGTTCTGTGATCGGCTATGCCCAGTTGATTTCTTCAGTGCTGGCGCAAGAGGGCTGAATATTCTATGCACTGTATTTGGGTCTGTGGAGGTGGGCGGGTGGCGGGATGGGGGGTGGGTTTGTGGTTGGGTGTGGTGGGGGGAGTTTGTGGGGTGGCTCCTGGGGTTAATGCTTCTTGCCTGTGGTTAGATGACTGAGCATCCCCTTCCCTGCTTCCTATAGGGTTGTCCCACCTGGCCTTGCCTTCTTCTCATTGGGTTATTCCTGTTTCCTGCTCTTGCTGTCAAGCGGCTTCTAGGGATCATAGCTTGGGCGGGGTCCCCTTTGAGGTTCATTTCCCCTTTGCTCTAAGGATCTTAGTTGCCGTGCGGTTGTGGGGGAGGTGATGCTCGTCCCTTTTGTGATGATGGGGGCATTGATTATGTTACTTATAAACACTTGCAGTATAGGGTCAGTGTTTTGTTTAGTATCGGCTTCACTGGTGCTGACCCTGGGATGTTTAGTCTGTATTTGCTAACCACTTGGGGCTCCATTGTGTTTCTCATTGTTAATGCCTTGATTTTCGTTTGTTTTGCCTCTGCTAACCCGTTGATAACTTTGTTTTTTGTTAAGGAGATGCTTGCAATACTCGTCTTGGCCCTCCACTCTCCTACATTTGTCTTCCCTCGTTTCAGGCCTTGCGACCGTCTCCACATTCTCCAACCCTTCCCTTATATGTGTGTTCTGGAGTTAACCAGACACTCGGGCTTGGACAGCGTGGGGACGGTTTTTTTTGACCTGATTTATACCTCTCAGAATTTATTCCTGTCCCAGCCTGCGCTTTAGTGCCCCACACATGACTTACACTTTGCCACTTCATGGAGTTGGTATGCGACCCTTCCTATGCGCGTTTTTTCTAGAACCTCCTAAACCTTCTGTCACTACCGACCTCCTCCCGCCTCTTCACATATTTTCTCACCTGATTCCATATTTTGGCGTGACCACCGGCCGGCGGTGGCGTTTATTCTCGTTTCGGCGTCCTCCTCGTTCCCCACACAGTGGGCTCTGTGAGCTCCTACTGATCGTCTATACGGCGCGTTTCACTATATAGTTTGTTTCCATTTCTTGCTTCTCTTTCTTTTCTTTCTCTTTCCACCTCCTTCTTACTTTCTTTCCTAGCTATCTTCCCCCCCCCCCTTTTTTTTTTTTTTTTTTTTCTTCTCATAGGGAACAGCGGGTCTCTTCCCCAAGCCGTTTATCTTTTCCACTTTTTCTTCTTATTCTCCCCCCCCCTTTTTTTTTTTTTTTTTTCCTTCCCTTTCCCCTCATCCCTAGTGCATTTTACTGACGGGTTACCATGTCGGCCTCCACCTCAGTCTCAGGACCATTGTCCTTGAAATGCCTTTCACTCAATGCCAAGGGCCTGAACGTGCCCGAGAAGCGTTCCATGTTGCTCTCCTACGTGCGTAAACAAAAAGCGGATTTGGTCTTCCTCCAAGAGACGCACTTTCGCCAGGATTCTATACCCAAACTTTTCAATTTCCATTTCCCTACAGTTATCCATGCTGCTAACCCTCTAGCCAAATCAAAGGGTGTTGCCATCTTACTCGCTAGACATTGTCCTTTCTCGGTGTCGGACTCCCTTGTTGATCCAGAAGGCAGATACCTGTTTGTAAAGGGTTTTTGTGCTAAGCGACCTGTTACACTGGCCAATGTATATGCTCCTAACACCAAGCAGGTTTCTTTCATGCGCTCAATTACCACCGCCCTGGCTGGGTTCCAATCCGGAATGTTGATTTTAGGGGGCGACTTGAATGTCCCACTTAGCCCGCTGTTAGACTCCTCTTCAGGTAGCTCCTTTCTGCCGTTCAAGGCCCTTAAACAAATACGCACACAACTACAACATCTACAATTGCATGACTCCTGGAGAACCCTTCACCCTTCTGTGAAAGGCTACACATTTTACTCTGCTCCCCATAATAAATATTCCAGGATAGATTATTTCTTCCTGTTGCAATCGGATCTCTCCCACTCCTCCATGCTGCTTCGATAGAACCTATGGTTCTTTCCGACCATCACCCCATCACCATGACCTTGCGGTTCCCTGATGTGTTCATTCGCTCGAAATTTTGGCGCCTGGATGCTTCCCTTCTTGCAGATCCCGCTATTTTACAGGAGTTACGCTCCAATCTGACGGAATATTTTTCCCTAAATTCCTCTCCTGATATCTCCCCCCCCTCACGCTGTGGGAAGCCCACAAGTGTGTTATCCGTGGCTTCCTCATTGCAGCGGCGACAAAGCGCAAAAGAGATAGACAAGAACATTTGAAATTCCTCACGGGCAGGATACACTCCTTGGAGAGGGCGCATAAACGGTCTCTGGCCGCGTCGACCTTATCTGAACTAACGAGTCTACGCTCACAACTTCTTACTGAACTGGGTAGAGTGGTTAAGAAACGATTCATTCTTTCACAAAAGCTGTATTATGAATTTGCTAATAAGAGTGGGAAGTTTCTCGCCAGAGCTCTCCGTGAACAAAGATCCAGCATGACGGTGCACAGAATAGGGGTTCTGATGGCACTATGGCCACATCTAACCCTGACATTGCCACCCACTTCGAACAATTTTACACTTCCTTTATATAATCTCCCTCCGGAACATCCCCCTCTGCCCACTGACAATTCCAGGGCCTCCCTGATTTCCGAGTTTCTCCGCCGTCACGGCCCGGCGGCCCTCTCGGAGGACTTGGCTGCATCGTTGGAAACAGACCTGACACTAAATGAGGTACAGTGTGCTTTGCAACGGATGAAACCGGGTAAGAGTCCGGGCCCGGACGGCTTTTCGGCGGCCTATTACAAATCTTTCCTTGACATCCTGGGTACCCCTTTCCTATCGGCATTCAACACTTTCTCTCAAGACCCTCAACCTCAAAATCGCCTTCTGGAAGCCCATATCACAGTTATTCCTAAAGGTGACAAGGATGCCACACAGGTTTCTAATTATAGACCCATCTCCCTGCTGAATGTGGACATTAAAATCTTTGCGAAAATCCTTGCCAATCGACTTCTTCCTCTGCTCCCCTCCTTGATCCATTTGGACCAAGTTGGATTTATCCCGGGTAGGGAGGCCAGGGATAATACCATTAAGGCCCTCAACCTCCAACATTGGCTCTGTAAATCTAACTTTCCCGGTT